CCCTGGACCACCCAACCCGGCGCCCCTCACGCCGCTCCTTCCTCTGCAGGTGCCAAGCCGGTGAAAAAGATGAAGATGGCCTTGGTGAACACGCCCCTGGCCATGAGGGTCCTGCCTCTTGCCCCCTCTGCAGGCAACATGGTAAGAGATGCCCACTTGGCGCTGCTCAGCGCTGGCAGCTGCTTGGCTGCTGCCAGCCCTTGGGGCTTGCTGCCAGCCCTCGTGCTCACGCTGCCGCTTGGTCTTTTCTCTTGAGGACATGGCCCCCGCTAGCAACAAAACCGAGGACCAAGTGAAGCACCTGCTGCTGGTAAGGTCCCCCACTACCCCCACAGCTGTCCCCTGCGCTGCAGGAGGTGATGCGACCCTCTGCTTCCAGCTTCAAGCTGGGTCTGGGGTCTCTTGGGGCACTCAGAGCTGGTGGGAGCTCCTGGCTGCCTGCAAAGTCCTTCTGGCTGATATAAGCGGAGCTTCACCCCCCCACCTCATTTTTCTTTGCCCTGGCTGACCATGGTGGTCATTCTGCAGCAAGCAGACCCCAGGAAGATGTTCCCGGAGCTGAAGGACAACCTGATGGACAACCTGAAAAGCCTGAAGAACACCATGACTGATGCAGACTGGAAGGTCAGTGCTTGCTGCTCTCCTACTCTTCCCCTTCCAGGAGCACCCTGCTTTGGGAAGGGCCTGGGGTGTCCCCACCTGGAAAAACAAAGTCCTGCTTGAGCCAGGCTTGGGTTACCTCCACCCCAAGGGAGGTGGTGATGCTCACGCCCTTCCCTGGCCCAGGCTGGAGCTTGCAGCACGGTTCCCCCGTGGTGCACGCCCCCCTGCCCCATCCCAGTTAATGTGCTGGTTCCCCTGTTGCAGTCCTTTGAATCCTGGATGCACAAGTGGCTGCTGTTTGAAATGGCCAAGAACTCCAAGCCAGAGGAGCATAAGGCAATCCCAGCAGAGAAAGGTATCGAAGATGGGGGGGCTGCTGAGCTGGGGAGGGTCGGGACTGGCACTTCAGAGCAACCACCCCCCCAAGAGGTTCCAGCATGGGGCATCCCAAAGGCAACCGACCCCTTTGTCCTCTGACTGGTCATGGACCTCTTCGTCCCATGGTGGTGGCCTTTAGGACATCACAGAGCCACTGCCACTGCCTGCAGGGGCTGAATGTTGAATGTCTGAAAAGCCAGAGCACCATACCAACTCCTCTGTCCTTGGCTAGCCCGAGAGCTTTAGAAGGGTCACCGGGGTGGAGCTTGTTCTCCTTTTGTATTTAATTTAGCTGCTTCTGGATAAAAAGCTCCCACCAAGGCTGCCAGGCAGCAGAAGTGCCCAGGCGGCTCATGGTGTCTCCCCTTTGTTTTTATTGCCCTAGTGCAAACTAAGTGCCAGGCGGAGGCCAATTCTGAGGGTGTCCAGCCGGGTCGCTTCCGCCCGCAGTGCGATGAGAACGGTGACTACCTGCCCAAGCAGTGCCATGCTGCCACAGGCTACTGCTGGTGCTCCTACAAAAATGGCACCAGGATTGAGGGCACTGCCACTCGGGAAAAGCTGGACTGCCCTGGTAGGTCGCCAGGGAGGGGATGGAGGAGAGGAATGAGCAGCATGCATGGATGCTGCCCCCCGTTTTGCTTGTGATTAGGGAGGAGGAGAGCAGCCAGGGAGAGGAGGGGAGGGTGCCCAAGCTGTAGAAAGCATCCCTCACCCCTCTTTGGTGCCAGCATGTTAAGGCTGGAGGGGACCCTAAAAAACACAGCCCTCCTTGCGTAGGTGCAGCTAGAGCCAAGGAATGCAGTCGAGGTTTTCCACTAGCCCCCGCTGCTCCCAAACCCATGGCTCAGCGGGTGGGCACAGGCTCTCCCCTGCCGCTCTCCGAGGGTGGGGTCCATAGGGCAGACCCAGCAGTCCCATGTCCTGCCCTCCCTCTGCAGATGCTGCCGCTGCTTCTGCCACCACTGCAGAGCCAGAGGAGATAATCTTCTCCGGGGTGGACATGCTCAAGCTGGGTGCGGAGAAAGGTGAGGGCCAAGTGTTGTCGCGGGGCTGGGGGAGGCACAGGTCCACCCCCAAGAGCCACGGCAGCACAAAAGCGCTGCTGGGGCGGTGGAGGTTGTGATGGAGACACAGGCAAAAGCAGCCTGGGCTTTGGGAGGTCCTGGAGCCATCTTACCAAAACTCCCTCCCCTCTTTCCCCACAACAGCCAAGTAGAAGAGGACGACAGCAGATGCCTGCCCCCTCTTCAGCATCCCAGCTCCCATGTTTTATTTTTTTTGCTCTGTTTCATTTCTGTCTTATATTGCTTTCCTGAGATGATTAACAGCAGGCACCCGTGCACGCTCCTGCCCCTTGAGGCATCAGTTGTGACCCTTCCCCTGCTGCAGGGCACCAGACAGGGCTGCAGCTGCCACCAGGATCAGTGCTAGAAGACAAAGTGTTCCCTCAAAGGGTGGGTAAAGCAGGCTGGAAAGTGATTTCAACGATGTCAGACCCATAAATCCTGCTCCCCTTTGCTCATCGGCATCCTGCAGCACCCAGGCAGTGGCAGGCACAGAGCTCACCCCTGCTGAAGAACAAGCCACTAATGCTTTCTTACACTGCATGAACATTAAAAGCAGCAAAACAACCTCACCAGCTTCTTAACTGACCCCTGTAGACTGAAGCTCTGTTAGATTACTGGAGTAGAGGGTTTTTCTTGTGGAGCGCTCAGTTTTGTAGAGAGAGATGCTGACCTTCAGCTTTTGCCTTCAGGCTGGAGAACAGCCACAGCAGTGGGTAACAGCAGGCAGAGGAGCTGACCCTGGAGGCAGAGCAGCTTCTAATTTTTCTGAATATATCTGATAGTTCCTTTATAAATGACCTCACAAGCTAATTATTTCAAATAAACTTTTGAATAAGAAAGCCTTGTAAGCAACTCTAGCAGGGCAGTGCTTGCAAACAGTCTACAGCTGTCCTAGGTTAAAAATAAATGAACCTTAAGAAAAAAGGGAAAAAAAAAAATCTCTGCAGAGACTCGGACATCTGTGCCCCCACCCAGGATCGTACATATTCCTTGCCACATTCCTGGCCCATCAGTTGTTCAATCTCCCTTGCACTCCAGGGTCCCCCTGCACAGCCCAGGAGGCTGAAATCACCTTTAAGTGAGTCGCAGCATGGGGGGAGGAGTAAAGCAGCCCCCTGCACTGGAGCCATCTCCCTCCTGCACCCGGGTTGCAGTGGTGTGAGGGTGGCAGCCAGAGAGCTCTGCCCTCGCCAGTAGAGCCTGCAAAGCAGCTGCACAGCATGGGAGGGAGGAGCAGAAGGGGATCCAGTCCCTTTTTCCTCACCTGCTAAGCCCCAGGGCTGGGAGTGAAGTGAGGAAACCAGGCGCAAGCCCAGTACAAGGCACAGGGTAGGAGCTGCCAGCAAGGCAGCAGGCTGGGCCTGCACAAGGTGATGCACAAACCTGCTCTCAGCACCTGCCCTATGCGGCATTTTAGTAATAAAAAAATACAAACCAATGCTCGAAGAACATGCAGTTCAAAGCCGAGGAGCAACAGCATTTGCTCTTCCTCAGAGAACAGGCAGAAAGCAATTAATTTTTCCCCAGGGGTTGAAGCAGTGCCTATGAAGCTGGGTGGAAGCTGGGCTCTGCCCTCCTACTTGCAACGTCCCCCAGAGACAGCTGAGCCCTACCTCAGCCAGCCCTGCCTCCCTGGCCTGGGTTTGGTCCCTGAACCAAAGGGCTTCTCACCTCCCTTCCTCCCTTGAAAGCAGCTGAAGCAAAATCTCACCGTTCTTTTTTTATTTTGTATTCCATTAAAAAAAAAAACCCCACAAAAAATTACGCCGCCTTGGCTGAGAACAGCTGCTGGACACAGCTGTTCAGTGCAACTCCAGGGACATGATAATCACTGCTGTCAGTGTTAGAATAAAAAGTAAACCCAAGAGCTCTCTTCCATAGTAGCAAAAGGACTGACACCACAAATCATGGAAGGGGGAAGAGAAAAAAAAAAAAGGTAAAAGTTTCTCTTAAAAATATAGCTCTGTGGTGAGAAAGAGATGGCTGGGTGTCAACTACGAGGAAAGCAGTTTATGCAAGCTGGCTCTTCTCTGGTCAAACTGCCTCCTTCAGTTCAATTCTTGTGCAATAGGCGAGCCGTCAGGAGGGGCAATAAACATGTCTCTGGGCCCCAGCAGGGCAGGAGGAGGCAGAAAGTTATGCCGCTCTGCTCTAAAAGTCACAGTTAAAAGAAGTTATAAATTATTATTTAAAAAAAAGTTGGAATTCTCCTGATGAGCTTCCTTTTCCTCTCTTCTGTTTGATCTTCACCCATAAATCCTTAATCACAGGGATGCGGTACCTTTGGGGAGAGGAGTTAAAAGAGTTAGGTATGGGGAGGAGGAGAACAGCCTTACAGCTGCGCAGAGCAAGGGCAGAGTCATCTGGTCCAATTCCAGGTGGCTACAACATCACCATCTAATCCACATTACTTTTCCAAGCTCCCTATGGTGAGCAGGGACAAACAGACACTGCCAGAGGCCGCTTATCTCTGCTGATGACAGAGGACAGCAACGTCCAGGCTGGACATCCAGTTCTCAGCAGCTAAAGAGTTGACGTCAAACACATCCAGAGAAGCCAGCGCACTGCTGCATGACTTTCCTTACACCGGTCCACTCCCTGGCCCTCTAATCTAAGGCCAGGCTGACTCAGTGGGTGTTTAGAGGGCACATTGTCTTCCCAAGACTGGCCCAGGAGTACTGAGTTTGGCCAAGGTTACCGCCGTTCAGAGGTCCCAACTGATAGTCCCCACAGGCCATGTACCTTCTCACAATCCTTCAGGCTCAGCTGTTTTCTTCTTCTAAAAAGAAAAGGGTGAAAAATAAGTAAATATCATCTGCACCACAAACATGAAGGATCCAGCAGAGCCACAACCCACAGAGGCTTCCTGGCTGCCATCTCTACAGGGACATATTCATAAATGAGGAACATCCTATAGTCTCCCTCTGCCCCCTTTCCTAGCCCTTGGGATGGGATGCAGTAGCCTGCCAAGCCCTCAGGAGCTCCAGTTTCTGCTGAAAACAACTAGATGAATAGACAACTGAAGAAGAGCACTTACTCCTTGGGCAGGTTCTCTGCCACAAAAGGGCCCCTGGGTTAGACCCTTCCAGGGAAAGGGATCTCTCCTGGGGGAGCAGTACAGAAACAAGCCCTTCTTCAAGCCACCCCAATCCTAAACAACCAAAGGTCAGGCTGTCTCAAGACTAGCCACAATTAACTGCAGCCTCCTCTGTACTGCCAGCAAGGCCAGGACACGTCTCTGATCCTCTCCAGCCTGGCATGCTGCAGGAACGAGTGCTGCAACCACAGTTTGGAACAGCTCTCCCCCTGGTACCCCATCCCACGGTCTTGCACATACCTTCTTCTTCTTCTTGTGAACCTCAGCAGAGCCATCTGCTATCGGCTCCCCTTCCAAAGACACCTTTTTGCTCTTCTTCTTTTCTTTTCCAGTCTTTTTTTCTGGGAGAGGGAAAGAAAAGTCAACTAAGAGAGGGACTCTGGTACTGCCAGCCTGTGAGAAGGGGCACAAAGAGCGGTGGGACCATCTCCAGTAAGTTCAAGATCACATCCAAACCTGAGCAAGCTTTCCAGAGCAGTAACTCTGGGTGAGGGCAGAGCCCTGCCACAAGGCAACTGTGCCCAGGGCTGTTTCTCCAGTACCTTTGAGCCAGAGCAGTTTGATCCCACCACCCACACATACATGTGGGCAGAATTACATAGGATTCCCTTCTTCCCACCTCCCGCTGCCCACCCACTCTGAGGAACCTACTTCAGCGCTGGAGTAGCTGGGCATATGCCAGAAATCAGAGCAAGGGGAGCTACTAACACAGGATGGACACAAAGTTCAGCTCAGCACAACTGCTCCAAGAGGCTCCAGCTCACCCCTGTGCAATAGCCCATACACGGGCTGACGGACAAGTCTGTCTCCTCCAGAATGAAGGGCTGCATCTCTGCGGAACAGAAACCCCAGCAGATCTGGCCCACCCATTCCATCTCCCCTCCTTCCCTTTTTTTTTTTTTTTTTAGAAAAAAAAAAAAAGCCTGCAAGATCCAGCACAGAACCAGCTCTGATTTGCAAATGCAGTCTGCACTGCAAAGAAAAAAAATTGCCTTTACATTAGAGCAGCAAACAGAGCAGGAAACACCCTTAATTGGGAGCAATGAGCAGGAGGCTGATACCATCCTCCTCTTTCTCCATGCGTTTGAAAGCAGCAGCAATAGCCCCGAGTCAAATCTCTTGAATGAGCTGCTCACCATGTTGCAGCAGACACTGATCAGGCAGGGTCAGGAAGGGGCACTGTCGCCCATGGGGAACAGCAGTGGCTGACATGGCAGATGACACACAGATTTTGAGGCTGATCTCTTTTAAAGAGGCTGGCAGCAAGGGGCCATGTTCAGGAAGCTCTGACTAACACAAAGCCCTGCGCATGTGAACGCTGGGCTTCCTCTGCCATGCCCACAGCATGTCAGGGACCTTCTGCCTGCCATCCCCAGCCACATTTCACCTTAGCTCTCTGCCAGCATGCATTGCATTTGCCACAGAGGAGCCAGGACAGCCAGCTGGGTGAGCAGAGGTGTTCTGCACTGCAGACACAGCGCAGGGCACCACGCAGAGCACAGCGGGCCGAACACAGGTCTCATGGCTTACAACTAGCAAGAACTCTCCCAAGCCCAGTGCAGGCAGGCCGGCCACACGGGGTGGGCAAAGAGGCCTCAGCAGGTTCAACGCAGACTCACCTCAACCCTCTGCCAGCCCTCAGCTAGACAGCTGCTTCCAGCCAGGATAAAGGCCAGGAAAGGAGAAAACCCTGGAGGGACAGGTCATGCCATAGAAGATGCACGGGGACATCAGCTTGCTCTGCAAGCAGCAAGGATCAGCGTGAGTATTAACACAGTTCCCACTGTGCCGGACACAGGACAGGGGCAGGACAGCCCTGCTTCCTGTCTGCAACACGACCTGGTGCTGAGACTGCAGAAAAACACTGAAGTGGGGTGTTAAAAATCTGGCATTGGCTTTGGGTGGGCCAAGAGGGAAGCAGCCAAGCAGGAAGCTAACAGGAAAGTGGGTGCTACTTACAAGGCCCAGCCTTCAGAGGCTGAATGTGCATCAGCTGCAAGAACCTACTGCAAATCCAGCCCCAAGTGAGGGATTCTTACTTTTAGCTGATTTTTTCTTTTCCTTGCTGCCTGGCAACTTCTCCAGGTCACCAGCTGCCTTCTTCTTTTTCTTTTTGGGTACTTCTTCGTTAGCTTGCCCTTTCTGCTTCTTCTCCTTGGGCTGCCCAACAGCCCCATCCTCTCCTGGCAGTTTCCGCTTCTGAGATGTTTTCTGCTTCTTATTCTCTTTGTCTTTGCTCTTAGATGTTTTCACAGCCTTTTCTGCCGTGGAGGAAGATTTCTTCTTTTCCTTCTTTTCTTTTTTCTCCTTTTTCTTCTTCTTCTTCTCTTCCAACCCTTCCAGTGTTTGTACTGCAGGAACTTTGGCAGCTGTGGTGACCTCGGTTTCGCTCCCCGAGCTTGACTCCTCTGATTGTGGGATGGAGAACAGTGCATATGATGCTGGGGTCACTTGCGCCCCTTTTGCCCCAACATCATTCTCTTTCACAGCCAAGGCTTTCTTGACTGGGGAAGGTTTGAGGCTGGCATGACCTGGCTCCATTTTTCCTGCCACCTTCTCTTTGCTGGAGGCTCCTGTGACTTCCTGCCCTGGAGGGAGGTTGTTTTCTGCAGAAACAATGACGAGAGAAAAGACAACTCAGGGAGCATTCGTTACATAGACCACTACAGTAACATAGAGTTACTGGAGGGTGGAAATACGCATTTGAAGAGGAGCACCCAGTTCTCCGCCCAAAAGCAAAACCTGCTGGTCATCCCAACTACAGCAGAGCCAGAGAAAGATGCCTCAGCCAGAGATCAGGTATCTGGCGAGGGAAGTGGATTACAACAGCTTTGGCCACATCCATAAGAATAGGGACCAGAGAAAACTGTAGTACAAGATGGGTGAGCATAGATAGAGCAGTCCTTCCCCAGGACACCACCCTCAGTAAGCCAGGGACTTCCCAAGGTGGAGGGGGTATGCACACCACCATGTTTAACCATCACCAATGGCCTGTCCCCCAGCATCTGGGCCTTCTTGAACCTATATATAGTTCTGACCTGCTCAACAGCCCTTTGCACAACTTAATGATGTGCCCAAGAAGCCAACAGACTCATTTGAGCATCTGGAGCGGGCCAGAGCTCACAGCCAGACCAGAGCTCATCTGAAGGTGCAAGGGTCACACCAGAGCAGAAGCAGCTTCCAGCTCTGAGTTTTACAATTTGCCAACAAACCAGGGCGATAGTGAAATGGCAGGACATTTCCTTTCTCCATAGATCTTCCCACTTGCTTCCCCTCCTCTGCCCTCCAGACATGCTACAGAGCCCAGAAAGACACAGGGGAGGCTTGAATACCAGCACTGTATAGCAGATGTTCTTCAGCCAATGTTTAAAGGTTCCCTAGGAGCCATCACTACCGCAGCACACCAGTGCAGTGGGCATAGGTTTTAGGGAGAGCCCTACCTACTCCCATTAATTGCATTAATTATTGCAGTTAAAGCAGAACTTGGAAGAGGCAAAGGCACAGAGCCTCCCAAGCCAGCCAGCGCAGGGGGGCGTTCAAGAACAGGGCTGTGTCATGGCCAGGGGAAGCCAGCAGACGGCAGCAGCACTCCACACTACTGGGCTCTGTGGTGGAGACACGCTGGGAACAGGGCCCCCTCCCAGTGTCACCCTCCCGTGCCACCACGACTTTGCTCCTGGGCCAAGCAGATTCCCGACCTTGCCAAAGGAGACCCACCTGCTTTGTGGTTTGCAGCCACCTGGTCGATGTCTGTGTCGGTGTCACTGCTGTTGCTGCTGGAGCTGTCAGCTGGGGCTGCTTTCACAGAGGCCTTGGAGAGGGAGTTTGCAGCAGTCACGGCTGCTTTCCCTTGCCCCACTTTCCCTGCAGGCTGGGGGGGAACCGCCTTTGGTGCCTGGGGTGCTGCTGGGGTCCTGGAGAGGCCCAGATAGCCTGTGAGGAGGGACTGAAACAGCACAGACACACTGAGGAGTCACAGCAGGGCAGCCTCCCACACACCAGGCATGCAGATCTGTCTCTCCTGCTATTGCCCCCGTACTCCAAGTGAAGGGCCCACCTTTGGCCACCCGCAGAGTGATCCTGCACCACTCAGCCAGCCCTGCAGAGAGGCGAGGGATGCCAGGAAAAGGGGCCAGCACTGACAGACGCTGTCTGAGCTTACAGCAGCAAAGCTGATGGCGAGAGGATCTCCTCTTTGTTCTCGACCAGTAAAGCGGGCTTGGGGAATCTCCTGGCTATTAGCATGCACCCATGCACAGCTAATGCACTGCAGATGTGCTGCACGCCCTGCACGTTACTTACAA